TTTCCAATCAGAAAATCTTTGAATCTACTTATGACCTGGAAGCCCCTGCTTCAAGAATTTCTCTTTCCAGACTAAACTAATGTATACTCACATGCATTGATGGATGTCTTATGTCTCCCTAAAATGTATAAAGTCAAGGTATAACCCAACCACCTTGGACATGTTTCTCAAGAGCTCCTGGGGCTGTGTCATGGGTCATGATATTTAACCTAGGCAAATTAAACTTCTAAATAGATTGAGACTTGGCTCAGATGCTTTTTTATTTATATCTAAGTCAGATTTTTCTCCCTGTCATAATTTTTGCAAACACAGTTTCAGAGTCTCCAGAAGAAACTACCTCTACTGATAACTAGAATTTTTCTCAGTCAGACTGATTTTTGACTTCCAACTGACAGAATGTTAAAATAATAAATTCATAATTTGTAAAGCCACTAAGTTTGTGTTAGTTAATATTCATAGCAGCAAAAATAAACTAATATGGGTTTGACATCAGAAGTAGGGTTTTGATGTCACAAATATCGAAAATATAGTGGTGTCTTTAGAATTGGGTAATGAGTAAAGAGTATAAGAATTTCAAGAAGCATCACAGCAAAAGCCTAGTATAGTTTTCTCAGACTACTAGTGAAAATGTAAATTTCAGAGACCTCCAGTGAGGGCTCAGAAGTAAGTGAGAAATATGAGAATAAAAATTTATATATCATTTTAGAGAGAAACATCAAAAACAATCTGCTGATAGAGACATGGATATTAAGAGTACTGCTAGTGAGTACCCAGGAGGCAGTGAGGAGCATGGTAGAGAAACCCGTGTTTTCATAAAGAATACTTAAATTATCATAAATAGACTCCTAGTAGAAGTATGTTAAAGATGCTGTTGATGTGGACTGAGAAGGAAATGAGGAACATGTTCTTGGAAATGTGAGGAAAGTGGATTGTTGTTATACTGTGTCAGGAAGCCCAGCTGATGTTTGTCCTACAGTTTGGAAACTTGTGAGAGATGGACTTGTATATTTAGCTGAGGAGATTTTCCAGCAAAGTGCTGAAGGTGAGACCTAATTTTGTCTTACTGCTCATAGTTAAATGCTAGTAGAGAGAGATAAGTTGGGAAAAGAATTGTTAAAAAAAAAAAAAAAAAAGGATCCTGAACCTGCTTTTGGAAATTTAGCCTATCCAGATTGCAAAAGAACTAAAATTAGGAGATGCACTGTCAGAAAAGAGTACAGAAAGCTAAGAGTTTGCCTGAACAACCTTTCTCTAGGATCTCAGAAGGAACAAAAGGTCACATTATTCAGTCACATGGAAGAATGTTTGAAGAGATTAGGTGTGTGACTTACAGATCCCATTCAGGCATCTTAGCAAAAAAAAAAAAAAAATATATATATATATACCGACATGGACTATTTATGTAAAATCTGTTCAGAAGCTCCTTGTCTAATGGAATGAACCCTCAGGCATACAGGAGAGATCACAAGACACTTGAAAATGAAGTACCAGTCACCAATCAAGATGCTGCCAGCTTGGACCAAAAGGGACAGAGAGAGGACTAATGATAGAAGGCTGTCAGACTCCCAAAATTCTACTGGCAGGAAATAGGCCACGAAAATTTCACAGCTGCAAACATGCGTTACCTTTCATGTAGAATAAATAATGTATCATAGCCTGGAGCCTAGGCCCAAGAATGCAGCCAAAGAGAACCCAGTAAGAGTGGAATCAAAGGCCACAGATGACTGTTCCCTGCCCTCAAAGGCTAACGGAATATGTCCAGTTGAATTTGGAATTTGCTTGAAACCAGTCACTTATTTTTTCTTTCGTTTTCTTCTTTCTGAAGTAAAAATTCTATAAGCAGTATCCCATGCCTATCACAGCATGACATTTAGGGTGCATATATCTTGTTTTCTAGTTTCGTGGGTGTACACTTAGCAAGGAATTTTGACCAGTGTGGATCACACACAAAGTCTCACCCATGCAAATCTAGATGATTTGTGACTTTTTGGCTGACGTAATTTATATGAGTTTCTGAAATTGAGATTTGGGGGACTTTGGAGAGAATATATTTTGCACATGAGATTGGATGTTGGTATTTGAGAAGCAAAGAATACACCATCATTGAGCAAAAAATGCCCCTAAAGGTACACACAGCTAATCTCTGTAACCTGTGAACCTGTTAATTTTACATGGCAAAAGGGACTTTCAGGTACAATTAAATCAAGGGTTTTGATATGGAGAGATTATTCTGTATCATATGGCCTAATATTACAAAAGCAATGATGAATGAATACATGTAACAATTTTTTCTCACAGAGTTGATCATGATCAACAAGAAAAGTGTATTGGCCTCCTTTGCCTCCAATTTGCTCTTCTGTATAGTTTATTTTCCGACTCATATAGGATTGACTGTTGATCCCTTTAAGGGGGAGGAAAGAAAGAGGAACAGTGTAATATTATAATTACGTTATATTTCACAACTTTTGCATAAAATCTTGAGTCACACAAATGATTTATTTCACAAAATTTATTAAGCAGCCACTAAGAGTCAAGAACAGGTAAGATAAAATACAACAGTCAGCCTTCAGAAAGCTCTCTGTCCATTTAAAATAGATATTAATTATGTAGGTTCATCAACTAACTATATAGTACTATTTTGGTAAATAATTTGCAGTGAAGTAAACATGTAAGTTACTGTGCGATCATTTAATAAATAGTTCTTTTTCTCTTTTTCTCATTAGCATAGCTGCAAGTCAGCAGGTAGGGAAAGCAAAGCACTTTCAAATGCATCTAATTTATGTATATAGTTGTTTGTTGTCCTAGAAGAGTATTGTGTTACTTTCATTAAAGCATATTTAAAATATTTTGTCAGGAATAAATCTTTGATTTGCATTTCCCTTCTGGCTTACTCATAGTATATATGTAATATTTCATCATATAATTATTTTATTTTCTTCTGAATTTTCTAGGAGGAAACACATATTTACTTATATAATGTAATGGGAAATAAATTCAACATATAAAATTTTATGAGATAGCCAACCTTTCAACACTTAACACAGCTTTAATTTTTAAATCTCAGAAAGCACTCTCATAAAAATCTCACATACCCTTTATTGTGATTTGCAATAAGTTTTGTTTTGTTTTGTTTTGAGACCAGGCTAGAGTGCAGTGGTGGGATCTCAGCTCATTGCAACCTCTGCCTTTCAAGTTCAAGAAATTCTCCCACTTCAGCTTCCAAAGTAGCTGGGATTGCAGGCACCTATCACCATGCCCAGCTTATTTATTTATTTATATTTTTAGTAGAGATGGTGTTTCACCATGTTAACTTAGCTGGTTTCGAACTCCTGACCTCAAGAGATCCACCTGCCTTTGCCTCCCAAAGTGCTGGGATTATGAGCCACCTCACCTGGCCAAGATAAGATATATATATTTTTTACTGTTATAAAACCATAATACCTATGATAATTAAAAGTGATTACCACTTGCCAAACACTGTTCTATACTTTATTAATTAACCTAATAAAGTATTAAGGCAGAGTTCTTTTCTTAAAAAATATTATGCTAGAGTTCAAACCCAGGTACACTCACTATTTCTGGTTTGAGAATCACTGCTCTTAAGCATTAAAATAATACCTTAAAATCTAAAATTAAGCATATCTGATAATCTTATTTTATTATTGAATGTTCTTAAAGAAGCTTCATTGGATAATGATGTTTTTTCTTATTCAAGAGGGCAAAACTTTTTAAATGATGACTTTTTAAATGAAATAATAATCTAAGGGAGTCTCTCTAAGCAAATGTAGCTATCTTCTTTACAAATTCTTTTGTGTACCTCTTTTGCACAGTAATGAAATGAAAATAGTCCTGTTTATACTAAAAAATGAAGAATTATTTTTTCTTACTGAAGCATGTGAATCATGGTAACCTTAATTTCCAAGGTAAACACACATAAAAAACTAAAAATTATAGCCATTAGGATATATATAAATCATGAATAATTTTTATTCACCTTCAATCATTTAACAAATATGAAATACATATAATGTACCAGGTGTGATGTTAGTGGGGATGATGGATTAGGCGAGCTTCCTTTCTTAAAGAGCTCATGATATAAAAGAATGGGGATCTGTAATCCCAGCACTTAAAGGCTAAGGTGGGCGGATCACCAGGTCAAGAGATAGAGACCTTCCTGGCCAAATAGTGAAACCTCTTATCTCCTAAAATATAAAAATTAGGTGGGCGTGGTGGCGTGCGTCTGTAGTCCCAGCTACTCAGGAGGCGGAGGAAGAGGAATTGCTTGAACCTGGGAGGCGGATGTTGCAGTGAGCAGAGATCGCCCCGCTGCACTCCAATCTGGCACCTGGCACCTGGTGACAGAGCAAGACTATGTCTCAAAAAAAAAAAAAAAAGAAAGGATGGAGATTAGGACAAAATACACTGATATTTCAAATGCCAGTATAGTACCTGATATCTTTTGGAAGTATCAACTAAAACAGCAGAAGGAACCACTATCAGGTAAAATAAAGGTAATTGAGATTTGAGGCTAATTCAAAATATGGTAGAAAGTCTCCTACGTGTTCCCCATCATGTTCAATATAAATTCCTCATCATAAACTCTACTAACTTTAATTTATCCTAAAAAATAAATTTATTGAATCCATAGGCTCTTAAACTCTATCAGATCTTTAGTTGTAGCATTCAAAATAATTGAATAAGCTTTAAAAACTAAATTTCTCCTGTTTCATCCATGTTGTTGCATATGACAGAATTTCCTTCTCTCTTAAGGTGCAATTCAGCCTTAAAAATATATACCACATTTTTTTAATGCATTCATTCTTTGATTCCATACTTTGGCTATTGTGAATAACGCTGCAATAATCATGGGAGATATCTCTTTGACATGCTGATTTTAAAACCTTTTGGATATGTAGCCAGAATTGGGACTGCTGTTATTTAAAAAAATAAAATTCTGTCATTTGCAACAACATAGATGAAAATGAAGGGCATTATGCTATGTGAAATAGGCACAGAAAGACTGATACTGTATGATCTCACTTGTATGTGAAATCTAAAATAGTCAGACTCATAGAAGTTGAAAATGGGATGGTTCTTATCAGAGACTAGGGAATGGAGGGGAAGGAAAGAACAAGGAATGTGTTGGTCAAGTGTACAACATTTCAATTAGACAGGAGGAACAAATTTGGTTATCTATTGCATAGCATGATGACTATAGTTAATAATAATGTAAGGCATATTTCAAATTGCTAAGAGGTTAGATTTTAAAAGTTCACAATATGCACAAAAAATGTGAAGTGATAAATATGCTAATTAGCTTCATTTATTCCTTAATGTATTGGTTTATCAAAACCATTGTACTCACAAATGTATTCTTTTAATTAAAAATAAAACAAAACTATTCTTATCAGTGTCTCATTTTCAGAGATTCTGATTTTTTAAATGATTCTTTCAAAGTAGGAAACTGGTTGGGATTGGCCAAAATTCATGCTGTAATAGTTTAGAAGTGGTGGACACAGAGGAGTGACAGTCTTAATGCAAGTTCCTAAGTAAAATTCTGTCTGATAAATGAGCTGTTTGTGCAGAAGACATGTTACCCAGATGTGCAAATTGTTTCTCAAATAGATTGGTTTGCAGAAATTTTCAGATGCAATGAGCAAAATTATTTAGTGATTTGTGGTTTTATCATGCTGGGCAGACATTTCATAAAAATAAAAAAGTAACTTATTTTGACACAGCTGACGTAAGTTCTCAATCTTCAGTGTTAAGCTTTGTGAATTTGAATGGCTTCAGTTCCTAATACTTGGATGTGTTATATTTTTAGTTGAGAATTGTAATTACTGCACAAATATTTGTATTATCAAAGGACTTATGTTCTCATAATGATTTTTCTTAGTAATATAGTATATGTGAAGAGATGTTTTTGTCTGGGCTAAATACCCAAGATTCGTTGTCTCATGCCAAGGGAATCAAGGACATGGACACACAGGTAGTGAGTTTAAGAGCAGAAGGGTAATAGGCAAAAGAAAGAAAAAAGAAAATAGATCTCTCTCTCACCAAGGATCCAAAAAATCCACTTGGGATTTTTTGGACTCTTGGTGAAACGAAGCGGGTTTTATAGACTGGCTTGAAGAGGCAGTGTCTGATTTACATAAGGCCCAAAAATTATTTGGACCAAGTGTGATGTTTACATAGCAGGCATGAAGAAGTTTGGTTACCCAAACCTAATCTTTTATTATGTAAATGGGTTTTCTCCCTGGCCAGGACCATATTGTCTACTCTTTACTGTATACATGGTTGACAAAGAAAAGGGAAGATGGAGCCGCCATGTCAAACATGCCTAGCACTGAGACAGACTTTTCCCATTGTCACAGCTGCTGACATTTACCCGTGTAAGCTTCCAGCTTGCTTGCCCGTGTCTGCAGCTCAATTTTACAGGCTACTTTCTGTTAGAAAAGAAATGATTTGGGGCTGCTTTTTATTAAAACAGAAACCTTACCAAGGACTTCCTTATCCTCACTGTCTGCCTGAATAATTTCTTTTTAACTCCTATATCATGTGGACTACGTATATTTAATTATAAAATTAAATTTAAACGTTTATTATGCTACATCCAATTGTTTGATGTGTCAGTTTACGAGGAGTTTGTGATTTCCCATGTCTTCACATCTCAGTATATCTCAGAGTTTTAAAATGTTGTGTTTCTATGATTGCAAGCATTTTTCATATTTGTTGGCCCTTTGTAGTTCCTTCCTGGGAATTTATTTTTCATAGTATTTGCATGCTGTTCCTTATCAGAGTAGTTTTCTTTTAATTATTCTTGTCACTAGCACTTTAAATTTTTCTTAGTCTGTTGTGTATTTTTTATACTCACACAGTGCTTATATAAATTATATATATATATATAATTTATATAAGCACTTATATAAATTTATATGTAATGTATATATATATTAATTTATATATAATGTGTATATATATATATATATATATATATATACTTTTTTTTTTATAAGTTAGGTTTCACTTTGTCACTGGGGTTAGGTGCAGCGGCACAATCATAGCACACAGTAACCTCAAACTCTTGTGTTCAAGTGATCTTTCCTACTTAGCCTCCCCAGGAGCTAGGACTACAGGTGTGCAAGGCATCATACATAGTGAATTAATTTTTTTTTCTTTTTCGTAGAGACAGGGTTTTGCTATGTTACCCAGGCTAGTCTCAAACTTTGTGCCTCAAGCCTGTGCACTTGATTTCATGAAATAAAGTGTCCAATTTTATCAAATAAAATAGTTTTTAAAATTTTTATTTAAAATTTTTTATTTTTAAATTGGCCACTTTGAGAAAGTGACATCTATCTATCTATCTATCTATCTATCACCTATTACTCTCATATATGTAGTTTGTTTGTCTCTTTTCTTATCTTGGTCCTCCAAAAGCCTAGTTCATAGATGTGGTTTCTATTATTAGCTTAGAGTTTCCATAGTGCAATTACAATGCTGTTACAGAGCCTAGTAGCTAGGTGTAAATCTTCCTTGATTTCTCTCTTTTTTTTTTATCACCTCTATACATAAGTTTACAGTTTTATACACATTGTATGTTGCACTCTATACTTAACTCCAATTTTACTTGAAGTATAGTAGTATGGTCACTTGTCAGATAATCTTCTTCCCTGAAATCTAATGCAAGCCACTATTGACTGTATTTGGTAGTAGTGCTTCGCAGACTGTGGCTTCATCTTCAACTAAAAATTTTATACTCTATTCCACATGAAAAACAAATAGGGCCTTACTTTGCTTTGAGGACAGCAATTGCTTTATTAACATTTTAGAATATTTAAAATTGCTGTCATTTTTCAGTACATTCTGTTATTTATGTGTTTGTTTTAGAATTATAGCATGTACTCCTAAAGATATCCTGACTAAGATGAATGCTCACCACCTCCCTTTGAGGATAAACACCAAGAAAATAAATCCTACTTCTGTATCTAGATATACATGATACATAAAAATGAATATAAATTATGATTTTTAAAAATGTAGATGAAATAAGAAAAATTACATTGTTCGCATTTATTCTGCATATGAATATAGTTTTTAAAGGAAATAATAAAAATTTATTTATGTAATCCTTAATTTTGTGACATACAAGTGTTACAGGAAAAAGATACTATGAGTCTATTACCCGTGTATTAAATATAGCCATAATTTTCAGAAATTAAGCCTCTAGAATACATATTGAGGCTAAATATATAAATAATTCTAAATTGAGGAGTCACAATACTAAATTGCCATGATAAATCTCAGTGACTATATAATGAACTAATATACATAATATGTGGTACAGTTATGAGTAAAATTATGTGATGTAGTTAAAACAAAATTTTGAATGTTTAAACTGTGTTTTTGTTTTTAATTTTATTGTACATTTTTTAATTGTAAAAAATATGAAAATTTACAAAGGGTTAATTCTAAAAGTGCTTGACATTTTGTGAAATTGTAAGATGCCAAACTCAAGCACATTTATTTCTATAAGGTAGTGTTTAAACAAATGTGTAAATTTTCACTGCTGTATGGTGGTAGCTATTAAGCTTCCTCCTGATTTCCATAGGACTTTATGACACTACATTAAAATACATCTGGTAATAGTGATATAACTCAATTAATAAAGTGGACAGTTACTACTTGGTTTTCTACCTGCCATTGTCAAATATATCTAATTTTTGGCATATTGTTAAACATTAAATTATATATATTTAATTTTCACTGACATATTATATACCTGAAATAAATTTATTTTGGACTATTATATACATATTGCCATGTAAGTAATGAAGGAATATAGACACACAAAAAGAAAAGCTATTTTAAATCTCACTAGCCAGAGAATAACATGGTTGACACATTGCTGTATTTCCATTTAGCGTTTTTCTAAATGAGCACGTATACACAGGCATATCACAGAGATATTGTGGGTTTAGTTCCAGACAACTATAATAAAATGACTGTCATGAATGTTCTGAGATTTCTCAGTGCATGTAAAAGTTATGTTTATACCATCCTGATTTCTCGGTGCATGTAAAAGTTATGTTTATACCATCGAGCAGTCTATTAAATATGAAATAATGTTATGTCTAAAAAACCAATGTACATGTCTTAATTTAAAATAGTTTATTGCAAAAAATGCTAAGAGTGATCTGAGCCTTCAGTGAGTCATAATATTTTTGCTCAAGAGGTTCTTAACTCAATGTTGATGGTTGCCAACTGATCAGGATAATGGCTGATAAAAGTTGGGGTGGCTGTGGCAATTTCTTTTCTTTTCTTTTCTTTTCTTTTTTTTTTTTTTTTTTTATGTGGGGGTTTTTTTTTTTACCCCGTTGAGAGTGAAGTGGTGCAATTTCCGCTCAATTTAACCTCCATCCCCCTAGGTTCAAGCCATTCTCCTGCTTCAGCTTCCTGAGTAGCTTAGCTGGGATTATAAGCACCTGCCACTGTGCCTAATTTTTGTATTTTTAGTAGAGTTCGGGTTTTGCACCAGGCTGGTCTCAAACTCCTGACCCCAGGTGATCCACCCACCTTGGCCTCCCAAAGTGCTGGGATTATAGGTATGAGCCACCACATCTGGCATGGCAATTTTTAAAAATAAGACAACAATGAAGTTGGCCACATCATTTGACTCTTCTTTTTATGAAAGGTTGTTCTGTAGCATGTGATGATGTTTGATAGCATTTTCCCCCAAGTAGAACTTTTATAATTGGAGTCAGTCACCTCAAACTCTGCTGTTGCTTTATACCATCAGCTGTTATTCCCTCTGTTGAAGTCTTGGACCCCTCAGTCACCCATGAAGGTTGGAATCAACTTCTAAACTCCTGTTAATGTTGATATTTCAGACTCCTCCCATAAATCACAAATGTTCTTAATGTCATCTGGAATCTTTTCCAAAAGCTTTCAATTTACTTTGCCCAGATCTAATAGGGGAATCACAATCTGTGGCAGCAATAGACTTATGAAATCTATTTCTTAAAAAATTTCAACTTGAAAGTTGATACATTGGCTGCAAAATGGATATTGCGTTAGCACACATGAAAACATTCATTTTCTTTTATATGTCTATCAGAGATCTTGTATGACCAGGTGCATTGTCACTGAGCAATGATTTTTGAAAAGAATTGTGTTTTCTGAGAATTAGGTCTCAATAGTGGGCTTAAAATATTCAGTGAACCATGCTGGGAACAGGTGTGCTCTCATCCAGGCTTTGCTTTTTCCATTTATACAGGACAGGCAGAGTAGATTTAGAATAATTCTTAGGACTCTTAAGATTTTCAATGATATATGAGCATTGGCTTTATCTTGAAGTCACCAGCTGCATTTGCCTCTAATAAGAGAGTCAGTGAGTCCTTTAAAGCTTTGAGCCCAGGTATTGAGTTCTGCCCTCTGGCTATGAAAATCCAAGATGGCATTTCCTGACTTAAAACAGTTTCTTCTACATTGAAAATCTGTTGTTAGCCTCCTTCCTTAATTATCTGTTAGCTCTTCTGAATAACTTGCTTCTCCCTCAGCTTCTCCATCAGAACTTGCTGCTTCACCTTGCATTTTACTGAGAGAGCTTGCTTTCTTAAACCTCGTGGCCAACCTCTGATAGCTTCAAACTTTTATTCAGCAGCTTTCTCACAGAATTAAAGAGAACTAAGGCCTGTCTTTAGATTAGGCTTTGATTTAAGGTAATGTAGCTTGTTTGATCTTCTATCCAAACCATTCAAACTTTCTCCATGTTAGCATAAATCTGTTTCACTTTCTTATTTATCATTCATGTGTTTGCTAGAGTAGGACCTTTAATTTTCTTCAATAACTTATCATTTGTGCAAATGAAAAATTCACAATTTGATGAAATGTTTGGTACAAGAGGCCTAGGTTTCAGCTGATTTCAGCTTTCAACATGCCTTCCTCACTAAGCTTAACTATTTTTAGCTTTTCATTTGAAATGAAAGATGTGTGACTCTTCCTTTCACTTGAACACTTAGAGACCACTGTGGGGCTATTCATTGGCCTAATTTAAATTTGCTGTCCCTTAGAAATAGGAAGGTCTGAGGAGAGGGAAAGAGAGGAACGGCCAGTTAGTGGAGCAAAATATTTATGGATTAAGTTCACCACCTTAAGGCCAGGCCTGTAATCCCAGCACTTTGGGAGGCCTAGTAGGGCAGATAACTTGAGTTCAGGAGTTCAAGGTCAGCCTGGGGCAACACAGTGAAACCCTGTCTTTACTAATACAAAAATTAGCTGGGTGTGGTAGAGTATGCCTGTAGTCCCAGCTACTCAGAGGCTGGGGTGGGAGGATTGCTTGAGTTGCTGCTGAGAAAATGACACAGATAGACTTGCTCAATGCAGAGTTATCACAAGATTTGAATTTGTAAAAAACATAATATCTACGTGCTTACTTACTAAGTTGATATAACATTTCATAAGGGCATTGAAGGAACAGGCTATGAAACACAATAAAGTAAAGCACTGTAAAACAAGGTACGCCTTTGTATTCAATTTAAAAATATGTATGTCTACTTTTTACCTAAGTAATTTCTCATGCTTTAAAATATTTGCCATGAATGATGTTCTTATCTTCATTACATACTAGTATGTAAAGTTATAGCAAGGTACTTGTGTGCAAGAATGTAATAAGTTATCTACCGTAATTTTAGTCTGATTTGAAAAAAATATATAGTCTTTATTTTTATATCCTAATTATATATTCTGAAAATTAATGTATATATATTTTTTCTAGTGCATATCATAGAGATTCAGTAAATATTTGTCGGAAGCTTGTTCAGATTGTTTTGTACTGACACTTCTTTTTATGGAGTCCAGATATATGTGCTTTCTTTTATGAGTAATTGAGTGATAAGTATATGTTATCTAAGTTTATGATATTTTTCAATATCTACTTCAATAGTTACAATAATTTTTTTGAGAAATAGCTCTGGCTTAGATGTCTTAAATCTAAGAGAAGCCACCGTGTCTAAAACAGTCTTAGGGCTTTCGTAAGTGGAAGTCCCAGTTATAGGAATCACTGTGCCCAGAGGAACTCAAAGCTATCGCTACTGTCACATATTTTTGCTTCTTCTAGGCCAGATGTAATTTTCTCATCAGATGTCTTTTCATCAAAAACAATGCTGTGTGGTTATTGAGTTGATATACCACTTTATCAAGGTATTAGAGGAACAGGGCTAAGCAGTTAACCAAAGCTCAAATGTTTATATAGGAGAGGAAGGGTCATGTTAACTGTGTGCCCACACAGATGTATTTTGCTTTTTTGAAATTTTGGCCTCTCTATGTTTCTTGACAAATTCCTTTCTCCCATTTATATATATATATATATATATGCATGTGTATATGTATTTGTATGCATTTATATTTATATATGAATGGTATATATATATATAATATATGATATAGTATATATATTACCTAATTATTTGTTTTATGTACATATACATATACTGATGTCTTGAAATGAAGGTTGAATTTATTTCTTTTAACTTGTTTTTGGAAATAATCTATTCATGTTTCTTGCATTTCTTATATACTTTTTCAGCATTGAAAAGACAAATTTAGCTATAATATTAATAAGACCATAAAAGATACCTTTCATATATTTTATTGCTTTATAAAAAATCTGGTATTTTTTTCTAAATATTAACTCTTTGTTTTTATTTGTACTGTGTACACTTTCTTACCTCCAGTTCTTTGTAATGTAATATTTCTTTGTTTTCAAAACTCTTTCTCTATGTATTATGAGTAACTCCTAGTCATTCTTCATGGTCCACCTTAGATTTTACTTTCTTATTCTTTGTTGTTCTTGTAGAGACAGAGTCTCACTCTGTCACACAGTCTGGAGTGTAGTGGTGCGATCATAGCATTGCAACCTTGAAATCTTGGGCTCCAGCAATCCTCCCACTTTAGACTCCTGAGTACCTAGGACTACAGGCAAGTGCCATCATGACCAGCTGATTCAAAAAAAATTGTAGAAATGAGCTCTCACCATGTTGCCCATGCTGGTCTATAATTCCTGGTCTCAAGCAGTCACAAAGTCAAATTCCTCCCAAAGTGCTGGGATTATAAGCATGAGTCACTGCGCTCAGCCAGGCCTTACTTTCACAGGAAACTTTGGTTTCTCATTTTTATAATGAGAGTTCTAGTTTAAATAAACCTATTGTTTCTTCCATATTTAACATTCTGTTTTATTTATCTTGACTTCTCATGACCTGCTTTTATTCCTATATACCTGTTTCTTGTGTTTCTAAGTAGATGATGACTCAGATGTCATTTTATTGAGGTTCAGATACACCTGGCTTAAAGCTCTATTTCCACCCTGTGGAAAACCCAAGTCCTCACTAAATCTACTCTGTGATTTCCTGAGTTCATATGTTTTTATGAAAAGTTCAATCTCCAGGCTTTCTTTCCATGAACACTATCTCTGCACTGTAATGTTAATACAAAGTTAAATCTCAGCTATTTACTTTAATTGTCATGCAATATGCAAACAAGGAAACAAAACACCTAACATATGATAGCAGTTGAAATATTACAGTAAAATGTAATAGTGATTTGTTTGTACTCAGCTAGGTAAGAGTAGCAGACTGTAAAAGCGTTAGAGAATGGTACTAGAAACTAGCATCTATGTGCTAGGTTTGCTTATCACAGCTGTGTATCCTCATTTTTAGTCCTTCTTACTAGAAAGGCATAGAACAAGAAGGTATATAATTATATACTAACCAAAATTTTTATATGTATCTACAGATATTCCTATGCATAACCATTTGTGTCTGTATTAAGCTAAACATTAACTCATAGTGATGTCTCAACTTTAATCCGTTAATACGTGATTGTCCAAGCTGCTACCCTTTGCTCATCTGTTGCTTCCTACTCTAAAAGTAATGAACATGGCTTCTATTATCTGCCATTCATTTATTTAAGTGTTTAATTCATATATATATGTGTGTTTCAGAATTATTAACTAGTATTTCCATGGAAAAAATTTTATTAAATAGAATATATGCATTTGATTTTGAGTTCTAGCTATAATTCCGACTCTAATAATGTCCTTAGTAATTAATAAGCATAAATGTTTCTTATCACAAAAAAATTACATAGGAACTATCAGAGAGAAGTCAATATGTAGGAAGTGCATATTGATGATAAAAATCAAATAGATAATAAAGCATATCAGTTAATGCCATATTTAGACATACAGCTTTAAATATATACTAAACACTTGGATTTTGGTTTTATTTCTTTTTTCAACTATTATTTTAGATTCAGGGTGCATATGTTGAAGTATGTCATAAGGGTATATGGTGTGATGTTGAGATTTGGGGTATAATTGAACCCATCACCCAGTCAGTAAGCCTAGTACCCAATAGATAGTTTTTCAACTCTTGGCCCCCTCCCTTCCTTAGCTATAGTCCTCAGTGTCTATTGTTCTTATCTTCTGTCCATGTGTACCTAATGTTTAGTTCCCACTTAAAAGTGAAAACATGCAGTATTTGATTTTCCAATTCCACATTAGTTCACTTGAGAAAATGGCCTCTAGCTACATTCCTGTTGCTACAAAGGACATGATTTTATTCTTTTTTATAGTTATGTTGTATTCAGTGGTATATATATATTACATGCTGAAGTCTCCCACTGTTATTACATGCCTGTCTAAATATTTTCCTAGGTCTACAATGACTTGTTTTATGAATCTGGATGCTCCAATGTTGAGTGTGCATATATTTAGTAAAATCTTGTTGAATTGAAACTTTTATCATTAGATATTGTCTTTTTTGTCCTTTTTACCTTTGTTGGTTTAAAGTCTATTTTATCTGATATAAGAACCATGACCCCTGCTCTCTTCTGTTTTCCATTGTATGATAGAACTTTCTCCATTCCTTTACTTTGTGCCTGTGGTACAAGTGAGATGGGTCTCTTGAAGACAGCAGACAGTTGGGTCTTGTTTTTCTATCCAATTTACCAATCGATGCTTTTCAGATGGGGCATTTAGACCATATAATTCAAGATTAATCTTGCTATGTGAGAGTTTTTTTTGTTTTTTAAAGTGTTTTTAGCTGGTTGCTTTGTAGTCCTTGCTATGCAGTTGCTTTACGGGATTTGTGAACTATGTATTTAAGTGGGTTTTTGTGGTAGCAGGTATTTTTCTCTTGCTTCCATATTTAGAATTCCCTTAAGGCTTTCTTGCAAGGCTAGCCTAGTGGAAACAAAGTCTCTTAGCATTTGCTGTCTGAAAAATATTTTGTTTATCCTTCATTTATGAGGCTTAGTTTGGCAGGATATAAAATTCTTAGTTGAAATTTATTTTCTTTAAGGATGCCAACAATAGGCTCCCAATCTCTTCTGGCTTGTGAGGTTTCTGCTAAGAAATTCACTGTTAACCTGATGGGGTTCCTTTTGTAAGTGATCTGACCCTTTTCTCTGGCTGCCTTTAAGACTTCTTTTCACAATGACTTTGTAAAATCTGATGACTATGTATCTTGGTGATGATCATCTTTTATATCACACAAGGGTTCTCTAAATTTCTTGAATTTGCATGTTGACCTCTCTAGCACAATTGGGGAACTTTTCATGAATTATTCCCTCAGATATGTTTTCCAGCTTGCTTATTCTTTCTCCTGGTCTCTCAGAAATGCCAGTAAGTCACAGAATTGGTATTTTTACATAATCTCATGTTTCTTGGAGATTCTGTTCATTTATAAATTTATTTTTTCTTTGTTATTGTCTTACTGAATTGATTTGAAGAACTCATCCTTAAGTTCTGAAATTCTTTACTCAGCTTGGTTTAGTATGTTGTTAAGGCTTTCAGTTGTATTTTGAAATGCCTATAGTAAATTTTTCAATTCCAAACATTAAGTTTGGTTCTT